TCCCCCACCCACCCACTAACACCCTCCCTGCTCACTAACACTATCCCTACCCACTACCATCCTCCCAATGCTCTGAACACTAACCTCACCCACTAGCCTACAGTCCTACCAACACTAACCTCACCCACTAGCCTACAGTCCTACCAACACTAACCTCACCCACTAACCTACAGTCCTACCAACACTAACCTCACCCACTAACCTACTAACCCCCTGACCTACCTACCCTCCTCCAGGCGACCTGGCAGCCCGGATAGGTGAGTCAGTCCGTCGCCCCAGCATAACAGACGGCCGACCGGACCCGGGCCATAGGGCTAGCCTCGCAGACATCGGAAGAGGCCCTAGTCTCTCGGACCACGCGGGAAGGCTGTCCAGCTACCTGGACAGTCGCAGGTCCAGTATAGGAGACCATCAGGGTGAGTCTGGATTGAATAAAAGAGTTTTACGGCTCTTGTCACACAATAAGGTCATACAAGTGCCGAATTTTTGTTTTAGTGAGAGTTTTATCTACGGCACCTTCAACACAATAAGGTCATATACGTGCTGAGGATTAGAGGTGTTACAAGAGAGTAACAAACACAATAAAGAAGGAGGGGAGATAAAGACGAAAGATGTTTGATAGGAAAGAAGAAGCAAACCACACCAGAGCACCCGCCAACCACCCACTCAAGTGCCGAAGATGAAAGGTGTTACAAGAGTAGAAAGGAGGATAGATGTTTGATGGAAAGAAAGAGCAAACCACAGAGTGCACCCACCAATCATCCTTGATCATCAGGGACAGTTGAAGTTGGAGTGGAGTAAAGAGAAGCGCATCGACACAATAACGGTAATTTAGCTGCTAGCATTTGTCAACTGTAGCTAAAATAAACCGTATAAATCAACTGAAAGTAGAAATAGAAAATTATGTAAGTGGCTTGGACATTCCTTAAGAGAACTTAAAAAGGACTTAACCTACCAAAACTCAAGATGGAATCCAAAAGGGAAAAAAGGAAAGGCCTAAATGTACTTACAGAACGGAATTAGATTTGTTCCAAAAGGAGGTGAGATAAAGCTGGACATAGGTGGGGGCTATATATAGTCCACCCATAATAACATGTACATGGGAAGCAAGCTTTTCGTTACCTTAGGATTACAAAGTTCTATATGACATTTTTGGCTGTTTTAGTTACAAAGACCATGAGGTCAAAAACGAAATATCTGCTTTATTAAAATCGGAAGATTATTCGGAGTCGTTTTCAAGATATTCAAAGAATTGCCTTTTTTTTTTTAAATTGGCATGTTGTAAAACTCAGAATGTTTACGTCAAATTTCTCAAAACTGGGAGCAGATAGAACTTTACACTTCTAAGATAGCGACATGTTGGTGGCCTATGGGCGGACACAGGGTGAGAAAGGCTGATGATAACGATGATGAGCTCGGGGGTAAGTTTGCTTTTGTAAGAGTTTTACGGCGCTCGCAACTGCATAAGGTCATATGAGCGCCAGAAGAGTAGAGGTATTACAAGAGAGAAACAAACATAAAAAAGAAGAAAGGGAGATAAGGACGATAGATTTTTTATAGGAAAGAAGAAGCAAACCACACTAGAGCATCCGCTAACCACCCACAGGGGTAAAGTAAAACAAACACAGAGACAAAGGAGGAAAAGAAAAAATGTAAGAAGCACATCGACACAATACCGTTCAGTGAGTGCCTGTATGTATGTGAGGAAGGAGAAGGAGTTCCCTGCATGAATATTGGGGGGTTGGGGGGGGGGGAG